TATAACTGATGATTTAGGTTAAGCTGAATTGATCCTGTGCACAGTTCAATTCTTTCCTATAGGAGCCGGGTAATTAATATTTTCAGATACACTTGATTCTCTTTTGTACAGGAGTAGTTTAGTCCACAGGCAAATCATTACAATAACATGACTTAATTGATGGTAAACTTCAAAAGAAAACTATTGAACTTTTACTTCAGTTTTGAGTTCAGTGCTGTATTTTGCTTCTGATTCGAAGGAAAAAGTGGGGTAGCAGATAGGAAACAGTCTTATCTTAAAGCTGAACGTCAGGCATAAAGTATTATTCATACTTACATTGGTCGAGCTTAGCCCAATGTAAGTATGCATATTTCATAACTAGCATGCAGGAAACAAAAAAAAACAAAACAGTGCACCTCTCTAGTGTAGAAGTTTTTATTAATTGGAAAATGTTAGCAAGCAAGTATGGTACTCACAAACTGCCGATGTTAAAAAAAAAAGCCTTTAGTGTGCAGGGGAAGATATACACTGAATGGACATCAGATGACACTCACATGCGGACAAGGGATATGAGGCAATCCTCCTTCTGCTAGCATGACAGGCATGGTTAACACGTTTCTGGGGCGATACCCCCTTCGTCAGAACCTAGCAGTCCCCTCCAACAGGTTCCTATAAGACTCGAAACTTGGCCAATCAACAGACGGCTAGAGTGTGACACCCGGCTCATCGAAACCGATGAGCCGGGAGTCACGTGAGTACTCACGAAGAGGTGACTGGAAGGGAGTCCATTGGCTGACCACCTGTTGTGTCACACTCTAGCCGTCTGTTGATTGGCCAAGTTTTGACAGGCACGCATTCAGACAGGCACGCAATCACTGTGCTTGTCATGCTAGCAGAAGGAGGATTGCCCCATACCACATGTCCAGATGTGACTGCCATCTGATGTCCATTCAGTGCAGATCTTCCCCTGCACACTACAGGCTTTTTTTTTAACACCGGCAGTTTATGAATACCATTCTTGCTTGCTAACATTTTCCACTTAATAAAGACTTCTACACTAGAGAGGCACACTGTTTTTTTCTGTTTCCTGCATGCTAGACCTTCAGACACCCTGACTGTTTCAAGTGCTGCCCTCCTGCGAGAAGTTATGGTGCTTATACCCCTTTTGAGGATGAACTTCGGTGCCAGTGACTTTGTTGTTTGTATATGTCATAACTAATAGGCCCATAACGATCCTGTAAAGCACTGTAGTATCCAGAGCTACTAGAGTACTGACTGTGATCTTCCAGGTCCTTTATTGTGCTGATCTGAGCAGGTTCCCTTCTGCTCTGAAAACACAGGGTCACTCATTCAGTACAGTCGTAATTCAGGGAAAGCCTAGTATTTTTATCAATGAATACAAGGCAAGGGACAATGATGTCACAATCCGCCTTTCATCCAATCAGAGAATGCCTTTTATTCTTTGATAATGACCATTTTGCCAAGTGGCCTCCTGTGTTTTTACAACAGAGGGGAACCCGTTTAGCTCAGCCCCATACAGGACCCAAAAGATCACTGTCTGTACTGTAGTAGCTCCAGCTACAGAATACCGGTGGGCATCCAAGATGGCGGTGCGCATACGCATAACGTGCCGGTGGCCAATATGTGTTTTTTTTAATTTAATGTGCACTTTCAGATTCTGAGATTTGTTGCCTGCAAAACAGCTTAATTTGTTTCATCAAACAAAACAAATGAAAAGGTTGTTTCCCTTTTCATTTGTTTAGTCTGAAACAAATGTTTATGCTGTGCACATGTCTAGTTGAAATAGTAGAGTGGAGTAGAAATATGTGGAGTTAGATTTGAAGATCTCCCTGTCATGGATTTGTCTCTGTCCTAATGCTGAAGTGCTGAGATCTTAAAGGACGGGTATAGTCAAACTTCAGCCCTCCAGCTGTTGTGGAACTACAAATCCTATAAAGCATTGCAAGACTCTGACAGTCATAGATATGACTTCTAGAGGAAGAGGCATTATGGGACTTGTAGTTTCACCATAGCTAGAGGGCTGTGCATGATTTACATGATGTAATTACAGCTCACCTTAAGCACATTAAGGGTCATAAAGCTGTGAATGTGACATTCAAGGAACATTCACTGTGGGTGAATCTTCCTGGTCAATGTTTTGATATACAGTGATTTTTTTGCCACCAGTAAATGTTTGGTGAAGGTCACCTTCACTGATTTATAAATGTGCCCTTATGAGTCTGGTTTATGTGATAGCTGAAACACAAGCTGTGCATACAATCATATTTATTATGAGAAACAGAACAGCTGATGCCTGAGTCAAAAATCTAGCAGACAATACTAGCATGATTAGAAAATGTCTGTTATCTTACAATCTGTCATCATAATTGTACATAAACAAAAAGGCTGGAAATGTTGGATTTTTGTACTTGCTCTAGAATGATTATTTTAGAAGTTCATTAAGGGACACAATAAAAGAGAAGTAAAAAAAGTCTACCACCTTGGGGGAAGGAGGGGGGGGGGGTGTCATGAAATGGTTGCTCTTGGTGGGGCAGGGAAGCTACCCTACCATACACATAAGCATACTTGTGTGCAGTACACTGCAATGCATTGTAGTGCGTTACTATGCACTACAACATACATTCATCATCGTGTGCCAGTCAGAATGAATGCCACAGCATTGCAGCAACATGCATATTAAACGTTAGGACAGCACGATGGTGTGAAAAGGCCTTACAGAAAAACCTACCTTGAGGTAAACAAGGAGACAGCTACGGTAATCTTCTCTTTGAAAATGCTGACTGTCTTCTTGAGACAGAGCTGTAGAAATCCCAGGAATTGATGGACAAAGTTAACAATCAAAGCAGCTACCATATATGTATTTCAACTTTGTCTTTAGCTGCTCGTCTTTTTATCTTTGAACTATACCATTTCAAGAAAACCAGATGATTCTCAATGGATAGTAGACACATCAGATTCAACTATCTTGACAATTAAACTGGAAATTGCCAACACTATTCTTCAATAAAGTCCACACAAAACTGAACCACATTTAGAGAATACTACAGGGTTGGATCACCCAATGACCTCCTGTTTCCATAGAACTCTGGTGGCAAAAACCTAACACCAGAGTTTCAAACTTTACCCTTTTCCACCATGGGATCTCACTCTTCCTGCTGCAGCTGGAATAGTTTCAGTTTTGCAGCTGTTAAACAATGAAAAAGCCAACAGGGAATCCCTCATAATACTTATGGAAGTTGTGTACACTTGTGGACTTAAAAATGCAATTTGTGTTTCAATCTAACATCTATATAAAACTTAAAACAGGTCTGTTCAGCTGGTGGCTTGTGAGCTGCAGGCAAGTTCACACCATTTTCTGGACCAGATCTAGAATGCAGCGCATTGCATTTTGCTGCAATTTTACAGTGTTTTTACTGCAATTTTACTGTGTTCCGGGGCTGTTTTTTAGCTTAAAATGGGCATTCAGGTGCGTTCCAGTGCATTTGCATGCATTTTTGATGCATTTCCATACATTCCAAGTGCATTCCAGACAAAACAACATGAGGTATGATGTATTTTTCTGGTCTGGAATGGACTGCGCTGGTGTGAACATAGGCCAGGAATAGTATAGGGATACATTGGGATGCATTTTAGGTCCATAAACAATCTGGTTTGGTCTGGAGATGATCTGCAGGTAGTGTGAATGGGCTTTGCATGCAGACCAAGGAACTTTCTTTTGCAGCCAGAAAGCTGCCAGTTTAATGCAGAGCGACAGAAGGGTGCCAATTGCGGAAAGCTCCATATATTCATCTCCCTTTTTTGTCATCTTTGTCCTATTAAAGAGATTTCCCTTCATTTCCTGTCCTTTATACACAACAAGAATTGGAAATTTCTCCAAAGTGAGGGGAAATGATGTGCTGGCTTAAAGAAGAACCCTTGCAGTGTGGTAACCCCTGCAAGGGTTACTGCTCATTTTAGTCTAGAGGCTAAAATTAAAAAAATATACTTAGTCCCGCTGTGTTGACTGATCCCCTCTCTCTCCCTCCGCTCTAGGAGGGGAATGTCCCTCGGAGTCCTCACGTCCAAAGCCGATGCATTAGATATGATGATGTCACAGGTCCTTAGACCACCATAGCTGGGGGGAGAAGGAACTGTGGTGACCGGTCTAGCAGCCAAGCGGGACCAAGGATCCGATGAGTATGTTTTCCTTATTTTAGCTCCTAGACCAAAACAAGCAGTTAACCCTTACAATACAGGAGTAGCCCCACTGCAAGGGTTAATTTTTACATTTCCTGGAGTTCTTCTTCTAAGTTGTCTATAAGCAATAAAAACCTGACAGGAGTTCTACCCCTTCGCCCCTGGGTTCAATATTTCAAGGGCCTGGTTTAAGACGCACACAAATACGTTTTTTTTATGGACTAGCCCTTTATTTTCAGAAGAGGCAGGAAAACAACTCTTAAGAATTGAATGTAGAAAAAATAGGTGCAACAGCCAAGTAGTGGAATAACAGGGCAATTTTCATTTGAGGTGACAAACCTTTTTGTATTGTTATTGAAACCACAGGGATAGGCCGAAAGCATTACAACTAAGCAAATTGAAGTGGACTTGTGCTCTCCTAAAACACACAAAACAGATGCAACTCTTTTTTTTACATTTTGTTTGTGCATGACTTGATGTTTGCAGTGCACAAAGGTTTACTGAACGTTTTAATAAATAAGGCCCAAAGACAGAAATCAATAGATCTACAATGAAGATAATGATCAATTATATCACCCTTACTGGGGCTTATTTAATAAGGCAATTCAATGTGCAAAAATACTAATTTTTTTCACATATGACTACAGAAACTTAAATCTCATTGGTTGCTATGGGTTTTTCACAACTTGCCTAAAGTAACTGCATTTGCCCATTAAATAAGCATGTTAATGTCTTATAACAGCTCATTTGTTCAAGCTACTACATATTAAGTTCATAACTACAGTGGAAATGAAAGGCAAAGTTTTATAATTACAAGTCCTTACTTGTTCTCATTGGTTGCATCATATCGAGGCATGGGATCATAGTCATTGCCATTGATATCAGTGCTGGCCAGAGGATCCTAAAACCAAAAAAAGAAAAAGGCTAAATAAATCATAAGATCGTTATTAAGTCATTATCTCACATGGGTCATGCATATATTAAACAGTTCTACTCGGCATGTAATTAGGTTAGCAAGTGTCCCAGTGCATTTCTGATGATGTGCAGGCTGTCTAGGAAAGAAAACCTCCTACTGGCTTGTTTGGAAGAATTAAAGATGGCAGAATGGCTCATGATGATCTTGAAGTAACTGTGAGGTTTTATTGCAATGAAACAAACAAGCAAACTATTGCCACTTCACTTTAAAATGATGAGTGAAATATTAAATTCTAGTTAGCTGCATTTACAAATAATGGAGACTGTAAACATGTAAATATACAGTACAGTAGATATTGCTATATCAATATTCTATTGATAATTGGAGGACGGGACCAGACATAAACTAGACATGGTTAAAATGAAATTTAATTTTTTATTATGCCATCTCACAAATATTTTCACCTGAAAATGTTATATACACAGCTAAAACCAATGTCCAAGTTATGCTATATATAATTAGCTTGTATATATATATATAACTAGCTAGTAGTAGGAAGCAACTAATGCATAAGAGTTAGAATAATAAATATTTATAAAATGTGTTTGAAGATGTTTTTTTAGCAAGATAATGCCGTAAAGAACTCTACTGCACGGAATGGAGTGAAGAAAGGTGGAGCAAAGATGAAAATATGACCCAGTATGTCTTTATAATCCTGCAAACAATTCATGTAAAGGTCTTCTTTTCAGGAAAAAGGGCCCCTTCACAGTCAATAGTACCCCACACCCTACTTATGCATTTCACAGGTAAATTTTTTGACATAACGCCAGAGCTAAACCACCAACAGGGTAACCTAGGCAGGTGCTTAAGGCACTACGGATATCAAGTGTCTACGCCAGAGATCAAAGATTGTCCTACTGACAACAAAAATCTGTAGAAGTGATGTATGTAGCTGTAAAGCTGCCCCATTATGTTAGATGTCAGCGTAGTGCCAACCATGATCTCCTGTAAGCCTGTGGAAAAAGGAGGAAATTGGTTTGATTATTCATGTAATAAGATGGATGGTCTGTGAATGTTCTCTACACTACTATTACTATACATTAGGCTAAACTTACAAAGTTGAAACACCGGCCTAGAGCACTCTATTTTTAGCCATGTGACTGTAATTTTCAAATGTAATTGGACTCAACTAAGTGTAACTGTAACCTTTTTTCAAAAATGAATACTTATCCTGGTGCATTAGTTTTGCGAATTAAGCCTATTCTATTCCGGCAGAATAAGTCGAATTAAAGTCACAATGTTATTCATAAAAATAATAACACAAAAAGATTCTAAGAATTAGCCAAATCAACCCAAACCTTAGTTTTAGCAACAGAAGTCTGCCATCAATGCTATGAAAGTAAATTTTTCTTATGCATGGATGTCAGGTCCTTTTTTCTTTTTTTGCAAAGTTGCTAGCAAATAATTTTTCCTTTACTGTTGTTTAAGTAACTTCTAGCTTAGGAATGCTGTCTCAGTTTTCTCTCTCATGGACAATATTTACAGAACATACTTTCAAAAACAAAAGTTGAAAGCTGAAACACATATTAATACTAAGCATTATATAGACTGTGATGTCTGTCTACTGGTATGGCACCAATGTACGCTGTATGTTCAAACATCTTTTTTGGCAATATAACAAATTGATGTTTGCTTTACCCCTTTTTAGGAACAATTAGACATGCTGTACACTATTCTGCCTCTTAAATGTATATGTTTGTGACAAAATAAAATGTATTTGCAACTCTAGTGAAAGAAATTGTACATAAGTTACAAATTGCATACAAATGTATGACATTAGTCAAGCGAGCCAGCCCAAAATATGCTATTAGTTATGTATTTCAAAGATTCATTGTGCAAGTCAGTATCCACAATACATACATTAGTTTCACATTTTACAACTTGAATATGACATAGCTAATTTGCAACTCGAGCCAACATTTTTCTGTAATTGCTCACAATTTTAATTTTCACATAGTTTTCCCATGGGCATTCCAGCTCAAATGAAATAATTCTCCCTTGTGTTCTAACAGCATTCTCAATTACAAGGCAACTTTTTTGTGTATTGCTTAAAAAAAAATAGCTGACACATTTACTGTATCCACCAGCTGCATAGCTTAATTTTGAATCTCACAGGAGCAATCGATCCTGGAGTCAGTGAACTGTAAGCGTGTCTGAGCTAGGATGATGCTTGAATTTGTTTCCTTTTGCTTCCCTTTTCACTTGTAAATCCTTGATGTGCAAGAAACTTTACCAATGATAGTAAGCATATAAGTTTCTTAATTGAATACTGAAATGGAAATACTTTCTAAAAGAGTAGAAACAGCAGGTCAATAAATTATATGTTTTTTCATTATTAAGTGGAAGTTTATATTTATCTGTGAATCAAACTGTGCGGATTTGGATTTCTGTTAAATAATAAATGTTCAGATCTGTCACATTTTAAGAACAAGGCGATTTATTAAGAGGACCCTGTCCTAAATGAAATATGTGCGCTGCCATTGCTGACCTCTACTATTGAAAATGCTTGTTGCCTGCTATGCTTATCTAGTGTGTACAAACTTTGAGAGTCAGTAAATAAAGTACGCAGAGTTCTGACTTTCCAAAAGTTCAGAATTGTCAAAATCATGGTAGTCTCCTAAATAGATTTCACGCCCTCCAACTAAATAAGCAGCGAGCACTAAATCTAAAATAGTGTTTAGACCAAGTATCTTGAGATAAATGTGCGGCGCTATACACCCCTGATGAAATCGCGTGATGGACGCAACACATGTAGGGTGGAGCTGGAAAGCACAGAGTTTGGCTGGCAGCATTGAGGTTCTTATGATTAGGAACAATCTTTTCCGGTGGATTGCCTAGTCTTGTGATACGCATTATTACGCATGTTTTCATGTGAGTAGTAGTAGGACACTCATATTGCTCTACTTGGTAACTGCACTAAAAGCAGACAACCTGTTCTGACATGGCACAAGATTACTAAGGATTGGTAAGATCTACACATGCATAATTGGAACAACTAGCTGTCTTCTCTCTTAAATTGACAGAAATATAAGTCCAGAGATCTGTGGCTTTTTTAGGAGCGTGTAATTACTCTGTTGCGAGTTTGTATGGAGCAGCTGATACTTTGTATGTGTTGATGATGTGTTTTCCTCCATCGCAAGAAAAAAAAATGAAATTGCTGGGGCCAGGTTGGTCTATGGGCAGTTGGATGTAAACAGATATGTGTCCATTTACATCAGATTACCCCCAATCTGCCACAATCAGGTCCATCAAAACAGAACTCTGTTACATTTGGTTTTCCGGACCTGGCCAGAGTCGGGGTAACTGAATGTAAACAGACACACGGCCGTTTAGATAGCAATGCCTATAGACTAACACTGGGCTGCCAATCAGATCCCCCTGAAATCTGACCTGATCGGAATGCCTGTATGAAAGGGCTTTTAGAAATTTCTTATGAACTAAATAAAAGCAAACCCCTTCTAAAAATGAGAAAAAAACGTGTAACAAAACAGACCCAGTGCTGAGCGACAAGCAAGTTAGAAACCACAGTCACCAGGGGCACTTCAATGATCACCATTGTACTTTTATAAAAAAAAATGAAAAGGGATTAAAATGATCATATATGCTAGCAAAGGTATATATAGGGCTATTGAAGCTCTACACTGGGATTTATGTGAAAAAATCTGGAAACAAAAATGTTCTAGCTGCTTACTTAAATCGATCATATTCTGTAATCATTCCATTGGGGCAGGCAGCAAGAACATTTGAAATATATATATATATATA